GTTGTGGTTTGACATGATGTGGTTTAGGTGAGAGGGCTTGGAGCTACTGAATGCATTAGATTAATGAATCCCCTCAAAAATAAGGTGCTCATTCAAGCATGTTTGTGTGCGTAGGCTGTGTTACTGGGTGAAACGCTGTTTATTTGTGTAAAGAGCTGCAGGACAAATTACGCCCAAACAGTGAAGCTCTCAAGCGTGACCTTTTCAAGGCAGCAAAACAGCAAAATGCAAATAAATAATGAACATTGTTTAAGCTCTTTCTGTGTTTTTGAATTTTATAATAGCTCCTGTGATAAGTTCAAATGCATATATGTATGGATGTTTGAGCAGAGAAGGGATGAATCCTGAATGTTTAATAAGGGTTCATCTTATGGAGTCATCTTTTTTAAAGCGTCTTTAGGTCATTTAAACTCTGTCAAGTAAATAGCTGATATAAAACTATGTTTTAAGCACTTTACAGAACCCAAAGCTTAACAAATGTTTTTATTTTAGTCTAAGACATATTAAAACCACTCTATAAAACCAATATTTAAATCTTAATTTCACAAAATACTCTTAGCCCGGATGTTTTAGACAATAAAGTCAACAGAATTTACCAAAATCAAGGTTGTGATTTAAACCTACGACCTCTTTGGGACGGTGACAATATGATTAATATTGTTTTTTATTCTGTTCTTACTCTCTATCTGTACTCGTTCTGTTGCTTGCCATCACCCTTTGTGTCTCCCTGTTGTCCTGATAGCTTATTGACAGCTGTGTCCTCAGGCAACAGCACTCATTGATCAACCATGTTGACAAGGTCACTCCATCCAAACTGCAACGATAAGCGAACAACCAATCACCAACCAACTCTAACCCTGTGTTAGTTTTACATCTGCACTCAAAGTTTAAAAGTTCCACTTTGGTTTTTAACTATGTGGTAGGGATAGGGCTGGGCGATAATTCGATAACGATATATATCGATCGATAGACGTGTGGCGCAATAGAAAAAAAGAGGGTCGATAAAAGTTCGATAAAAAAGAAACGCAGTTTTCCTTCCTTCTCATTGTAGCCTAGCATGTAGGTTTATGCTAGTCACTGCTTCCTCCCAACCAATCACAATCGCGGACCCAGGCACGCCGTCACCAAGCGCCGCCCTCTCAAACCACAACACAGAGCACATGAAGATGTGCAGCAAGAGGAGGCGGAGGAAATTGTTTCAAAGAAAGGTTTTTGTAGTTCGGCAGTCTGGCAGTATTTCAGTCATGGCAAGTCGGACCAAAAACAAACCAGTCATCTGGAAAATGTGTCGGGAACCAGAGAAAACCAGTCTGATAACGAAACCAACTTTTTTTTATCATCTCAGCTGCTCACAGCCGCAGGAGTATGAGCTGTGTAGGCCCCGACGCGGCTCTCCTCCGAGGAATCTTCGGAAAATACACTATATTGCCAAAAGTATTTGCTCACCTGCCTTGACTCACATATGAGCTTAAGTGACATCCCGTTCCTAATCCATAGGGTTCAATATGACGTCGGTCCACCCTTTGCAGCTAGAACAGCTTCAACTCTTCTGGGAAGGCTGTCCACAAGGTTTAGGAGTGTGTTTATGGGAATTTTTGACCATTCTTCCAGAAGCGCATTTGTGAGGTCGCACACTGATGTTGGACGAGAAGGCCTGGCTCTCAGTCTCCGCTCTAATTCATCCCAAAGGTGTTCTATCGGGTTGAGGTCAGGACTCTGTGCAGGCCAGTCAAGTTCATCCACACCAGACTCTGTCATCCATGTCTTTATGGACCTTGCTTTGTGCACTGGTGCACAGTCATGTTGGAAGAGGAAGGGGCCAGCTCCAAACTGTTCCCACAAAGTTGGGAGCATGGAATTGTCCAAAATGTCTTGGTATGCTGAAGCATTCAGAGTTCCTTTCACTGGAACTAAGGGGCCAAGCCCAGCTCCTGAAAAACAACCTCACACCATAATCCCCCCTCCACCAAACTTTACACTTGGCACAATGCAGTCAGACAAGTACCGTTCTCCTGGCAACCGCCAAACCCAGACCCGTCCATCAGATTGCCAGATGGAGAAGCGCGATTCGTCACTCCAGAGAACGCGTCTCCACTGCTCTAGAGTCCAGTGGCGGCGTGCTTTACACCACCGCATCCGACGCTTTGCATTGCACTTGGTGATGTATGGCTTGGATGCAGCTGCTCGACCATGGAAACCCATTCCATGAAGCTCTCTGCGCACTGTTCTTGAGCTAATCTGAAGGCCACATGAAGTTTGGAGGTCTGTAGTGATTGACTCTGCAGAAAGTTGGCGACCTCTTCGCACTATGCGCGTCAGCATCCGCTGACCCCGCTCCGTCAGTTTACGTGGCCTACCTCTTCGTGGCTGAGTTGCTGTCGTTCCCAAACACTTCCATTTTCTTATAATACAGCTGACAGTTGACTGTGGAATATTTAGGAGCGAGGAAATTTCACGACTGGATTTGTTGCACAGGTGGCATCCTATCACAGTTCCACGCTGGAATTCACTGAGCTCCTGAGAGCGACCCATTCTTTCACAAATGTTTGTAAAAACAGTCTGCATGCCTAGGTGCTTGAATTTATACACCTGTGGCCATGGAAGTGATTGGAACACCTGATTCCAATAATTTGGATGGGTGAGCAAATACTTTTGGCAATATAGTGTATATATATATTTTCAGTTCTGTGCAGTTTCCCACGTAGTTCTAACAATTGAGATAAAAATGCTGAGGGGCCAGAAACTTCAAAGTAATAACTCAGGTTAAAGTTATATTTATTTTGGTCACTTTTCTGGTCACTTTAGTTTAATCTTTGTCAGTATTTAATAACATAACTCAGGTCTCTTAAGTTATTTTTCTTTAAAACAATTCTGTTATGGTTAAAAAAGTTGGTTAAATAAAGATTTAATTCGAAGTCTGTGTTTGTGTTTTTTATTAAAATTAAATCATTTAGCAATATTATAAAAAGTCCAGGCAGAGCTGCACATAAAATATGGTTTCAAATCTTTTCAATAATTATCGATATCGATCAATATGCATTTTTTTTATCGATAAGCTTTTTTTCTATATCACCCAGCCCTAGGTAGGGATGCACGATATAATCGGCCCCCTATCGGTATCGGCCTGTATCGGCCTTAAAACTGAATATCGGACATCGGCCACCCCACCGATATTTAACCCGATATTTGATCAGCTTCTGAGTTTCTAAAGTCAAAAAAAAAATAAAAAAATAATACTTCTTCTTCTTCCTCGAAAACTTCTTTTTTACAGACTTAAAAACTTCTAAAGACGAGGGAAAAAACATTGATACATTAAAATATCACAATATCTTCATATGCTGATATATTGCCATTTAAAAACACCATATCAATCTCTTTTACTAATGAAATATTGCTATATGTCATCGTTATGCTACGAAATCCGCCAAAAATTCACGAAATTTTGCCTTATTTTTATATGTTGATATATTGACGCGGTATCGATCTATTTTACTAACAAAATCTCACAAGAATTTGCAAAATATCACGAGAGTTTGTAACAGAACGATGAAATTTCACGAGATTTTGAAAGTAAAATAGATCGATACCGCCTTTTTAGAAATCAATTTGATATCAGCATATGAAAATATATTTGAGTAAATTATTTTTCAAAGTGTCAGAAATGGATACTAAACTGCTAATTTCAATGACTACTTATTTTTGTCCAGCTTTAACATCGGTATCGATATCGGTTATCGGCTACATGAGTTTTTAAATATCGGCATATCTGATATCGGCCAAAATCCCAATATCGTGCATCCCTACTATGTCGTGTTGATTTACATGTAATTAAACATGATCTGAAACCATCAAGCCTGAAATCACCTGGAAAGGCATTAAGTTTGGGGGACATTTTTGCTTGATATTAGCAGCATGCTGGTATAAGCAGAAGTGTCAAGTACTAAAGTACAAATACTTTGTTTCCTCAAAAATGTAGAAAGTTTCTCTTTTGAAACTTTACCGGAGTAAATATATTTTAGACAACTTTTTACTTCTACTCTCCTTTTTTAGTATTTATCTCTACTTTCTTCTCCTCACATTTTAAAAATAGGCTCATTAGTTTTGTATCATTTAAACTCATTGTCATTATGGCCTGTTGGTAGCTAAAAAAAAAAAAAAACATCAAAATAATTTGTTTTATCCAGATAATTATTTCTTTGTGGTTGGACTCGGGGATGCACCAACTTTTACTGGAGTAAAAACCTTAAGTTGATTCTCTAACTTCTGCAAAAGTGTTTTTAACAGGAGGATTTATACTTCTACTTGAGTAAGAAACATTAATACTTTTGACTCTTCTGGCTACAGATTATCACCAGAAAGGTTGGTGCACTGCTAATATCATACGATGAGACTGATGCTGTTTCAGTCAAGCTTTTCTGAAATGCGTACCTAATGATTGTAAAAATCCCTAGTTTGGGAATTCCTTCCCTATAGTATTGGATCTGTATATAGAATTATAATAATGATAATAATAATAACCCTATAAATGGAGCAGTTTTATGGTTAATTGCCTGTTCTTATATATCTAACTACCAGCAATAGGACCGACCGACCGACCTTTCAGGCACTTAGATGGGTATGGGGTATTGCAGTCTAACAAAAGAAGCCAAACGACCCCATTCCAATGGGTGGACCCCATCGTCTGTTCCAATTTGCATGTTTTCAAAACAAATACAAGGCTTTGTTGGTCTACTGTATAGAACCTCAAATTCAATGCCATTCCCAACATTTTGAATTGAAAAAGCTTCCTGGACGGGAAGCGAAACGTCTTCAAACTTGGAAACCAAGTCCATTAGATTGTTTTTAATTTTATTTGGAATGACTATGACCCGGATGACTGAGAACCAGCATACCAGTAGTAGGTAATGCAGGTTAAGTGTATTCCCCAAGGACACAACGACGTTGAAAACCTAAGCATGGGTTTGAACCCACAATCCTCCGTTTGCAGGGCAACCTCCTGCATACTAACCTGGCAGGGCCGATACCTTGATCATGAAGGAGGTTCACCCAGATTGAACCATTTCACCCCGGCTGTGCTGACCTTTGCGAATTCCCTAAATATGGGAATCTTTATTGCATAATTTGTGGTAGGGGTGGCCTAGTGGTTAGGGCATTGCGCTTGGTATCCTGAGGTTCTGAGTTCAAGCCCAATTCCCACGGACTGAGCAAGACCCCTAACCCCTATACTGCTCCCCGGGTGCCACACAATGGAAGCCCACTGCTCCCCAAGGGGATGGGTTAAATGCAGACAATTTATTTTGTCTAATGACCAGACATGGGCAATGTGGAGTCAACAAGTCATCTCCATGTCATGTATTTAATCTACCCAGCCAATTAACCAGGTGAGTCCAATCTGCACAGGTTAATTCACGTTGAAGATTGGACTCACCTGCTTCAGTGGCTGGGTAGAACAAATACATGACATGGAGATGACTTGTTGACTCCACATTGCCCATGTCTGCTAATGACTATAAAAAGCTGGGGGAAAAGCCCACTGCACTTTAGCCCCATAACTTAAAGGGGTCATAGAATGAAAAACCGAGTTTACATCGTCATAGATGAATAACGATAGTTCAGTGGGTGAAATGGACGTACAGAGAAGTTCAAACCCCATCGACACCTTTCTCTGCAAATCTCACAATTCTAAACTTCCACCATGAAACGGGCGAATCCAAACGAAGCACCGAATTGATGTCAATTTGGGGATGTTGCCTTATTTGGTTCTGGCCTGTACTTTTGTCACGCCCCGAAATTGACATCCAGTAAATGCAGCGTTCCAGGCTGAATGGAGAAATGGGACATTTTTCACAGTATTCCCAAGGGTCCGAGTACTCGACAGGCATGAATTATGTTTGTCTATCAGAAGATCCCTGCAAAGTTTGACGCTCAGCTGTTAATCTGCTCTAAGCATTTTGGGCCGCTGACTGGACCGGACCGGGCATTTGAACCGAGCCATGAACTCCGGTGCTGGTCCTGGAACCCCGGCCGGGGACTGCGTGACCGAACGCGACCCGGTGACAGTATGCTTCCCCACTACGGGGCCGCAGGTCTCCAAGCTACCATCACCGGGTTGGGTTCGGTCGCTCAGTCCCCAGCCCCGACCAGCCCTGGAGCTGACGACTCGGTTCTGCTGCACTGTGGACCAAAATCCTGGACGATTTTGAAAAGTAGGACATGTGACATGCACCATAGAGAGCGTTCTGACCAGCTGTCTCTCTCTGTGGTGTGGAGGCTGCAGAGCTTCTGACTGGAAGAATGTGAGGAGGGTGGTGAGGACAGCGGAAGGAATCATTGGGGCTCCTCTTCCCTCCATTAAGGACATTTCATCACAGCGCTGTGTGTCCCGAGCCCGTAATATCATCAAAGACCCCTCACACCCCCACCATGGACTGTTCTCCCTGCTGCCCTCTGGAAAGAGGTTCCGCAGCATCCGCTGCAGATCCACCAGGTTGTGCAACAGCTTCTTCCCCACTGCCATCAGACTGTTGAACCTTTGATCCACAATCCGAACTCTGCACCTATTGCACATTATCGGGCATCAAATGCTGCTGAACTTTTAACTTTTAGCCCTTTAAATTGTTCATCTCATTGTATTTTTCAATAACGCATTTTTTGCACAAATGCCATTTTGCACTGAACCACTGCAACTTGCACACTGTCTCTTATCCTCTGCACTGTTCACACTTTGACCACTGCTGCACTTTTTGTATTTTTCTATAACTCGTGCCATTTGAAATATCAATGCAACGTTCATAAGCTGTATGTAACGCAATTTCGTTCTGTATGCACCCTGTGCATACAAAATGACAAATAAAGAAGTCTAAGTCTAAGTCTAAGTGTGGTAAAAAGAGGACATCTGGTCACCCTACCATATCAACAGTTTGATGTTTCAGTGAGTGAGTGCTTGTTGCTATGATGCGTCTTTGCTCAGCAGCTTCGTTCATTGTAAACCAACCAATCAGTGAATCGCTCATCTAAATATTCATGATCATACCAGAAAACGAAAAAAAAACAGTTGTTTCACTCTAGGGCTTTTAACCAGCCTTGCATTGGGGCTCATGGAACAGCAAATATGCCATTTTCAGCCCAACCAATGTTACACACCCTATTCAGAGACCTTAAGGACCTGCACCAAATACCCTATAGAATCATTCTATGAACCCTTTAAAGCAACATGTCTTAAAGGCATACTATGCAACATTTTTCAGTTAATTAATGTGTTCCATAACGTTTTGGATGATTAAATGAGTCATTTCAGGTCGAACAAAGGTTTTCTTGGCCACCCTGGTGGTCTGTAGGGGAAATACCGTACTTGCAATTGCAGGAGCCCTCGGCCCGCACCCACAGGCTCAGAAGTCTCGTGCATCGCGAGAGTCGGTCTTGCTTTACGGTGAGAACTGCTACACGCCCCCAGTGAAAGGCATGCTTGTTGCTAGCCCAGTGGCAATATTTGTGCAGTTATCATGGCGGAAACAGCGAGAAAACAGCGAAAGCCCATGTCGGGTTATTTAGACACATGCATAACAAATAATGTATGAAAACATGCTAAATTTTCAAACTCGAAAATTGGAACAAAATAGTCCCTTACCGCAGTAGACATGGTGATTCGTTGCGTTCGCCTGTCTGCTAAGCTCAAAACAACCGCGCCTGGCTTGACGGAGAAACCAGGCGAACAGCTGAGCACATTTACGACAGTGCACTTTTACTTTCGCCCTCTGGGGGGAGCCTCGCTGGAAAATCAACACCGGTTGCATAGTATACCTTTAATGTGCCACTGAGTCGCACAAAAGTGCGAAAAAGAGTTCACTTTGTTCTGGCCTTTTTATTTCAAACCTTGGTTACGCAATATCATTTGGGCTATTTTTCATTAGGACAGTCTGGATAGAGACTTAGGATGAGTCTGGCCGTAGAATTATGAATGATAGAAAACTGCACATTTAGACCATTGCAGAGGAAGAAGAAAAAAACGGATTATAATAAAAAGTTTGAAAACTTAAGTGTGTGCTTTCATGCATGATGATTTCAACTGTTACATTAATGTGAGAAAACAGCCATTTTCATGTTTTTAGCGAAAAAGTAAACGTCCATTTCCTCCTCTCGTCCATCTCCACCGCCAAGCTGCTGAAAGATGGGATGAATGGAGGCATCAGCAGTCGGACTTTACTTCTCCTTCAGTGCCCGAATTAAACAACAAATCCATCACAAATGGCCTCTGCATGCAGTCAGTTTGCACACATCAGTGCAAGCAAAAACACAAGAGCACACAGATGAATAATGACCTCAGCTCGGCGTGTGTTTATGTGTTTGCGAGAGATGCTGGGTGTCTGTTTCCTGCTTGTCGACCTACTCCCCTAATGCAAACTTGCAGACAGGCACAACCCCTCGGGGCTATTACACATCATTGTGTCTGTGTGTTTTGACGTGTCCTCGCTAATTGTCTCACATCACACTCTGCCGCTGCTCTTCTCTTAAAGCTTTAGAAGGATGAATGGTTGAATGAAACGATGTAGCTGCTAATGTTCTTTTGTCAAAGTTTAAAAAGATATTCATAATGCAGCATTTATCATTTCTATAAAACTTTTCTTCCTACAGGCTCCCTCTGCATTCTTATAGCTGTAAGTTTGTGCTCTTTAGGACTACAAAATCTTTAACGTACTAGTTCAATTTGTTATTTGCAATCCTCCTCTGGTCACTGCCATAAAAAAATGCTGGAATTGAATGAACCCAGAAAAATGAAACCCAGTTTAAAATATATTAACTAGCTTAATTGTTCCACAGTGGGGCGATTAAAGTGGTACACTGGTTAAAAAAAACAGGAAAAAAACAAACAGAACTCAGAGATGAAAGGATACTGTGCAGTTATTAATAAGGCATATATGGGAATGTTTATTCTTTATCAGGTAAGATCTCTGTCAGTAAAAACATTTTTATTGGTGTTTAAAATTGATTGTTACCCTCGCATAAAACTGTAACCAGGCTCGCTCAACTACAGAATGAAAATTAAATTTATTCCTGCTTTTTTGTGATTAAGTTTTCCCTTTTTGTTTTAGCAAGTAAGTCAGGTTAGTATAAGTTGGTTGATGATTTTATTCTAAACTTCACCAGAACGTTTAGCTGTCTGGTTCCTGACTTTATAGGGTTGGCTTCGGGAAGTCGGGGCTAATGCGTGATCTAGAAATAGACCAATATGTCTGCTGGCTGATATTTTTGGCAAATATTCGAATTTTCTTCTCGTATCTTATCCATTGATACGTGCATGGGTGGCCGATTCTTATGTGAGTTCAGCAGCCACGTCTGCATTGGGAGCAGCAATGCATGCAATCCCAATGAAGATTTATTTCTTTGTTATTAAATCGATAAGGAGGAAGAAAAAGCTATATCGGTTTTAGAACTGAAATAGCTTTTTCTTCCTCCTTCATTTTAGCCTGAGACTCTCAAAATAACACTTGCACAGACTTGTTACTGCATAAAAATATGTGCAGTTATTTTACTATATATTTATTTATAATTACATGTTAAAGTACTTCAATTTATTTATGGTAAATCAGTTTAATGCAATCAGGTATTATATAAATAAATGCCTCATCTACTTGTTTCATGGTATTTATTTGTTTTATGAGGTATTTTTCACTCCATATAACCCAATGATAACATGATAATTCTGAAATCCATCTACGGATCCCCCATTCGAAAAAATTTGTTGCTTGATGGGTCTAAAAAGTCGCTAATAAAATGAAGTGTTGGCAACGCTAAGTCGGCAACAGTGTTCTTCTGGCTGCAGAAATGACGCTGTATCTTTAAGCTATTTGTATAAGTTCTAGGCTAAAACTCACATATAAATATCCTTTCTCATCCGATATTAGCCGCTCTGTTTTCTCATGCTTCTGTTTTGCCTTTTTGCTTTTAATTGTAAAGTTAGCAAAGAAGGTTGGGTTGATTTACATCTGAATGTCACCGGTTATTTTTTTCTGTCTGGAACATAGTGCTGACGCCGCTACAGTGTCTGGCCAAACTTTCTTCTTGTGGATGCTTTGTTTTTATCAGTGCAGACTGTTACTCTACACGCACTGCACATATTCTGTTACAAGTGTACGCATTCATTTGAATCATATGGGTG